ATTTTCAACATGTATCATGTTAATTGATATTGCATTTTCTGTGTTGCTTTCACACTCTGTGGATTGGCAATTGATGTGTTTCAATTGCAATTCTGTACTTTCTGTATTATCAATACCTGGGGGGTCTCAATTAATTTCTTCAGTTGTTTGTACTTGATTTATTTGTCTTTGATGTTTCGGTGTGTTGCTCCTATATTTGTGTTGAGAAACTGGATATCTTGTGTTATTCCTATGTGGTGATTGAGAATAGTTTCCTTGTCTATTGTTATAGTCCGAACTTCTATTTTGTGAATTATTGTGGTATCTATTTTGATAGTTGTTAAAATTTGATCTTTGATGATTTGATCTGTTGTTAGAATAATTACGTGATCTATTGTTTTGATATCTTTGGTTTCGATCATTTGAATAGTTTCAATTCTTATTGCTGGAATAATTTCTATTTCTATTCTTGGAAGGATTTCTAGATCGATCATTGGAATAGTTTCTATTGCTAGAGTGTGAATGGGAACTGGTTTCAAACAAAAATTCTGGTCGGCTTGAATTCCATCTTGAATAGTTGTTTCTATACTGATTAGTTCGACTATTTGATCGACTATATCTATTTTGTGAGAAATTACGTGAATTTTTTTGGTTTGGTGATCGTCCTCTATAGTTTGAAACATAAAATGATTGGTTTCTAGAATAACTTGAACTCTCTGGAAGTGGTTTTCCAGAACTATTATTACTGTGGATGTTTTTGTTAAGCAAATTTTGATCTTTTTTCATATACTGATGAAATGATTTGTTTGTTTCTCTGTACTTCTGTGGTTTATTTTGGTTGTCTTGCTGCTTTTGTCTGCATTCAGCAATGCTGTGTTCATATCTTCGACAATAGTTGCACCATTTTTTGAATGATGTTTACCTTTAAAGTTTGGATTTTTCTCGTATATATTCAAAATTTCAGTGATTTTTTCGGATAAATCTGTATCTGAGTCTTGCATAATTTTTATTTGTGTAGTAGTAGTTTGGATGTTATTGACATATTGTAGCTGTAGATTCTCTGTTTTTTCTAGTTTCATAGTGATTCCTACTTGTTCTTTTTTATCAACTAGTTTTCTGAAGTCTAAGTCTGGTTCTCGACTTGAGGAAGGATGTGTTGCTTTCTTTTTTTTGTTATTCTTCGTAATTGAGGTGTTAGAGTCATCATTAAGATTTCTGTCATCTTTGTATTTTTATAATCATGAGTGTTGAGTGATTATGCTTTTTGGACTAGTGTTTCAATTCTTACTGCGAGTTGTTTGATTGTTTTATTCGGTGGTCTACGAATTTCATTGGATAAATCTTTTGTTTGTTTCTTTCAGAGTCAAAATTTTTTTGAAAATTCTTGTGTGAATCTTTTCCAGTCTGATTTGAAATCTATAAGTAAAACTGAAAATCATGTTTGTGCTGCGCCATCAAGTGTGGTTTGGATTATTGTTGTGCGCCTTTGTATCCAATTTTGATGAAGTGGCGTATTTACTGGTTCAGGTCCTATAACTAAAAAAAGATTTGCTATGACTGCATTTAAATAATCCTCTACAGAGTATTTTGGACCTGTGCCTAAGAACCCCAGGTATGGATTCATAGTCACTGTAAGGATTCTGCGGCATTTGTGATTTGTGAAAAAAAATTCGGAAGTTGGCTTTTTGTTAATTCATGTTGTTGTAAAAAATGTGGCAGTGGAACTTTTTGCATTCGAGTTGGTTGGTACGATTGTGTATTTACTGGGTTGTGTGTTTGAAAAATATTATTCTGGGATGTTGGATTTGTTCTAGGCTGTTGTATTTGTTCTTCTCTTGTATAAGGTTCAAAATTATCTGGTTGATTTATATTGATCGAAGTCTTCGGCTTTGACAAAATCGTTGATGATTTTGATTATAATACTCCTCATCATCTGATGGAAAATAATTAGCTTTATAATAATGTGTTTGATTTCTAGTATGATATCGATGATTATTATTTTTGTTTTGTTGAAAATATGGATAATATTCACTTCGATCCTGTGAAGTTTGTGGATAATCATTAAAATTTACTGAATTTAATGATGGTTGTTGTATATTTTGACTTTGTGAGAATAAGTGGTTTTGAGTATTTGTAGTAGAAGATCTAGTTGGTTATGATGTTTTTAGATAGTTATAATTATGTTCGACCAAATTATTTCTCTATGAAATTCTCTGTTTTTGCGATGGTTTTGTCATTGGTCTAAATGTTTGATAATCCGTTTGTGAGTATTTTGGAGCTACAGAGGGATCTAATGTAGATTGTAATGTTACCTGTGGTAATATTGGTTTTTTTTGGTCTTGGGGTTGTAAGATTAGGATGAATAGGTGAGATATTTGTTGTGCTGTAGTTGTTATTGTTTCAACTACTTCTTCAGTTACGAAATGTGATGGGGTTTGGATATCTTGTGGTGTAAGATTTCTAGTTCCGTTTAGGTTTTCTTGTTGTATAAAAGTTGTATTTAAATTATTGTTTCCTGCTCTATCCGGAAGGAATGAATTATAGTTTAGAGGTGTCGCGTCAACTGTAATAGGATACGTTTTAACATAATCTTTGTGAATAGACATTGTGCTAATTGCCTGGCTGGATATATCTGTTGGTATATTAACAAATAAGACATGAGACCAATTAGCTTAGACTAGCCACGAGAAAGTAAAAATCATTCTCACGAATCGATATATGCTTTTTTCTCCAACCCTACAATACATGACCCAAGTTAAGATAACCACAAAAAATTGTAAGGACTAACGGTTTAAGAAATTAGAAATCACTAATCCAAATCTTGCATCCATCATCCTAAACCTTGTCAAGAGACAATTTAGGAAATAAACAAACAATTATACTACACAACTGTATAAATAACGACGAAATAAAGAAACAATTATAAATAACGACCCAATTATAATCTGATTGTTCTGCTAAGACTGTTTCGTCATCTGTATCTTGTGGTCTAAAAGTTTTTCTCGCTTGTGAAATGAGGTCAATATTATGTGTAAAATAATCAATGATGAACCATGCTAAGATTTTTTGTAAGTCGTGTTTAACATGTTGTGTGATATCATTACTTGTTAAATTTTCACGGATTGCGATTAAAAATTCAAAAATATTGGCAATTTCATGTCTGTAAGGATTGATTGTCTGTAAGGATTGACTACAAGGTCGTATCTTTCGTCGTTATTTATACAGTTGTGTAGTATAATTGTTTGTTTATTTCCTAAATTGTCTCTTGACAAGGTTTAGGATGATGGATGCAAGATTTGGATTAGTGATTTCTAATTTCTTAAACCGTTAGTCCTTACGATTTTTTTGTGGTTATCTTAACTTGGGTCATGTATTGTAGGGTTGGAGAAAAAAGCAAATATCGATTCGTGAGAATGATTTTTACTTTCTCGTGGCTAGTCTAAGCTAAGGGTTAACTTAATTAATCTTACTTAGGGGTAGTGATTTGTGATCAAGGGTTGGAGAATAGTAAATTGATCCACAAGGTTCAGGTATAAGTAGAACGCAAGTAGTTCGTTAGATACTATTTTAAACATACTAAGTTTAAGAATTATCCTGGGTCATCCAAGAGGGGGATCAAGTGAAGGATGAATAACCGAAGTTATTCACTGTTTATCTTAATTAGAATGGGTAGTCTTTGAGAAATGTCTGTTAGTCCTGGGTCTTGAGTAAAGGTTGGAAAGTGAATCGACATTTTAGGTCGTTAGACACTTTTTAATTGTGAGGGGGTGAACAAAATTGTTCTATTTGATCCGAGGATAAGCCTTGATGATCAGATTATTGAGATAAAATTAATTTAATTTAATTTAATTTAAGTGAAGTGAAATTTAATTAAAGATCCAAGGGAAGCCTTGATGATCTGTTACTTTAAATAATATTAATGTAAGTGAAAACAAAGATAAACCTTGATAAATTTTTTGATAAATATTTAATTGAAAGAAAAGATTAAGGTTTAGTTTTGATGATGTTAATGTTTCTGAGCTTTGCTGTTATGTTTTAGGTGATGAAGCTGGGATGAAAAGATGATTTTTATATACTAACACTTTGTTTTATACTGACTAATTTTTGTATTTTTACATTCAATAAAAAAAATTTTCCAAGATGTTTTTAAGTTTACTGCAGATTTTTGGGGAGAACGACTAGAGATGTTCTTATCAGTCGTTATTGTACAATTATTAGGTTTAGCGCCTTTAATGATCGTTGAAGACTTTTCTTCAAAGATTCTATGTCAGTACATGAAAATTTAATTTTACTGTTAGTAATATTCTAAACAAAAAAGTTTGTGTTGGCTTTTGCCGTACGACCATGAAATCTATTGGAAAGTTTCGTCCTATTCGTATGTCGTCTCTTGTCCGAGGTCTTCTTCCAATACCGGGTAGTTCTCGTATTGATCGGAATATTGGCTCTGATCTATTGAATCGTGGAGACATTTCAATTCAATTTTTATTATTTAACACTTTTTGAAAGTGTTTTTTTTGTCTAATTCTAATCTAATGTTTTGGTTAGTTCTAATCTAAGTTGCTTAAAGTCTTGTTTGAGTTTTTTGGTCGCATCAGATGAGTTAAGATCTTATTGGTTAACTCATTGAGTAATTTCAGATAGGGTACACCGTCTGCGCGTCACGCTATCTTATTTTCGGCCGGATAGATTCGTGCAACTTCTTAGTCTACTACCGATCTTAATCTTACTCTTATATCTCCTAGTCTCAATAGATCTTGAGTATACTGGTTGTTTACGAGTCGGTCTCTTGGAGAAAGCAACTAAGTTTTAAATTAAATTCAAATCTCTCTGATGCTGAAATTACAAGTAATTTCAGGACTTACAAATAAGTGGGTTGTTAGTTTGATGGAGTATGATTGGTTAGTATTCAATATTTTATAGGGATAAAATATTAGAATTATATCCAATAATAAAATCTGGTTCCAGTACTTGATCAGAAATAATAATTTGTTTTTCTGTGACTATGCGTTGTCGCTTCCTAGGTTATAGGTGTGTGTCAGCTGTGTGAGATGGAGACCATTTGTGTGTTCCTTGTGCTGGCCGTGCAGAGATTCATTTCGTGGAAGCGACCCATCCTGTTCATGAACCAGAGCCGGAAGTCCATAGTGGCCCAGTTCCTCGGAACCCTCCTGATGTGTCACGTGCTCCTCCTAGTGCCCATAGTGCCCATACTCATGCACGTGCCAGAACAGCAATGGTCAGTAGCAGTCACGCTAAAATTTCACAAAAAGACTAAGGTAATCCTATAAATTTCACTCGGAATTTTTACTACTTGCAGAACTCTAGATCAGCTACTCATTTAATCAATCCGTTCCAGTTCGTCCCAGCTTAACAATGATAAATGCAATCGAAGGCATGCGATGAAACCATTTTCTAACCTCTAACTAATTTATTACATCGATTGAAAAATGAGGGCTGCAAACTGTGAGAGGAGCATTTTTTGTTGTTTCAGGCACGATATTTACATGAAGACGGAGACCATAACCCAAGTGATCAGTGTGTTGCTCAGTGCAGCCAGCATTGGTAAGTGGCACACAATTCAGAAAAACTATTTCAGAATGCAAAAAATGCTGCAGCTGACTTAGAGAAGTCTTCAGTCTTCAGAAATCAAGCAGTGCGTTACAGTAGAAATGTTTTGCCTCCTTTTGTTTTTCAATTTTGAATCTGTGTTAAATTACTCCCATTATTACCCTAGAGAAATATTTATGGATGTCCTAAAATGAAGAGAAATTGGCTAGCTATGTGCAAACTCTGCTAGTAATGTAAAACGTGGACCTAAACGAAACAAAAATGTTGAAAAAATGAACCAAATAGATAATTGACTGATTTCAAAAAAAAAAAATTCTCCCATATACTTGTTGCAGGTCTTCAACTGTATGTGAGTTGTCACCGCAGGTGGCAGGGGGAGGCCATGTCTGACATCCTCGCCTCCCAGCCCTCTCCTCAGATCCACTTCTCGACCCCCTCTCCCCACACCCCACACTCAGGTGCCTCACCCCCTGAGAAGACGTTGATCGTGACTATGGATGAGCACATTGAGAATAGCTTCGACCAACACATCAGGCACCCAATTTTTCCTTCTCAGCCGACTAGTCTTAGTGCCTGAAACAAAATTTGACGATATTAAGTTGTTTTTTGATTCGGCAAAACAAATTTTAAGCAGACGCAAATTCCACCAATATTAGTGAAAGTTTCAGAAGTGGCATTAAACAGTGGGTGGCGTTTTGTCAATTCGGGGACAACATTTGTAATTCGCAAGAAATGAACAAATTCATACGTGTAGGAAGAGTGGTGTTGATTTGATTGGTGTGTGTTTGTAGAGACAGTGGGGCGAATGGGCAATCGGCTGTCGGTGGGGGCTCTGTAGACAGGCAGGTGGGGGCGGAGGAGGGCGTGTTAAGGCAGAGTGCCATCCCGAGACTCATGCGAATAATCACAGTCATGACATGCATCCTCTGCTCACTCATGTGTCTCGACATATTCCTGTGGGGTCAGTTCCACTTCAGATACTTACATTCTAATATATTACCAGCGAGCAGCGTACCTTTTGATTTCGTTCATTTTTGCCAGCAAGATTATTTTGTATTAATATTAGCCTGAAGCTTTTATGACTGCGATATGGATTTGAACAACGCAATTTATTATCATTTTGGGGTGGTAATGGAATTGGCAGAAGACTATGGCGCCGACTCTTGACAAGGTAGACTAAGTTGGAAAGAAAATTGGAAAGAAAATCTGAACAGATCACAAGACAGAAAAGAGGGGCAACTTGATACGTTTCTTGATCGAACAAGAACTGCTAAGAAATCTGCAATCAACAAAAATTAATTCTCAAAATTTACTAGCAAAGTCTAGATAATAAAGACAGAAAAAAAAACTGTAGTTCCGCATCAGAAAATACCCCTAACAAAATATCAACTCTCAGATGAAAAACCGGCTACAAATCCAATGACAATTGGTCACGCTCAAAGAAAAAGATAGGCTTCTAAATTATTGGTAGCACCGGGTCGTTTGCAAAAAATTTAAATTGAAAAATCAATTGGATATTTCCATTTGTTGGCCAAGCAGCAACAGTATTTTTGTTTTGAAATATATGATTAATTACTCTCAAGGGAATTCCATTACAATAATTGACAGTATCAGACGGCATGAACAAAGAAGAAAAGTGGACAGTTACGATCGAGAAATTGTCCTTACAAACGATCAAATAAATCACTTGATGGAGGAAAAAAAGATCTTGTCGAGTGAAAGCAGACTTGAGAAAAACTCAACAACTTCATTGATAAAATTAAAAACAAAGCACAACAGATTCACGTCAAATTGGGAAACAAACAACAAACTGAAAAAGTCGACATTAAGAATTCCACAACGTTACAACAAGACTTCATCAAAGAAGATCAAGAGTAAATTGACGATACTGGGAAGGCCGAAGTGCTTGTCAGTAATAAACCTCAACTAAGCTCAGGAATGAGTCAACGACTACACTCTAGAGCAACCATGCGAGCAACCAATCCAATGACCTCAAAAACGAGCAAGTGAGACAAAGAATAGCAGAATTAAATATGGAAAACTTTAAATAGTCAGCAATTATCAGAAATGAAGATCGCAAGGCAGAAGATGAAGCAAGCCTATTTGAAGAATTTTTTGAAAGGAAAGTTTTGTATGAACAATCGGAACTAGCAAGCGTAGAAAGAAGAAGTTACATGTCTCCAGATAGAACTGACAGATATGTATCTCCAGATAGAAAATCAACCACATTTAGAGAAGTGCATTTTGATAGATTCTACACAAAGCTATAGTATAAATCAATTAACTAAAGAGATGAACAGAAGCACGAATCAAAGGCAAGATTTAAACTTGGTTATTCAAGTAGATCACGCGAAGAGCGATCTCAAGACAGATACTCTGAAAAAATACACACAGAGTTAAGAAATTGAAGTTTACCAAAAAGGTAAATATTTGCTGGTGATCCATTGGAAAGGCCACATTGGTCAGGATTGTTCACAGCAACGGTGCTTCGCGCGAACATAAACAAAAGTAAAAAGATATACTATCTGAAAAGCTATGTAACTGACAGGACTCGGTTATGATGGCCGACAATATGAAGATGCATGTAAACTGTTGTGCAGGCTTTACGGTCAGCTACATATCGTACTTTATTCAAAATTAAAGCTTTTGAAGAACTTTTCAATTGCAAGGATATACGACTCTCATCGAAAATTGAAAGATGCAGGCCAAGTGAAAACGTTTCTAAGCATGTTGACAAACTTTGAGTACAAAGGTGATCTAAAAACTAATTCAAAATTAAACAATATTTTAAGCAAGCTTCCGCCTGATCTGAAAGGGAAGTGGATTTTTTTCTCAATCGAAAAAAAATTCTCACAGCCAAATGTGAATGATTTAAGTGAATGGCTCACTGATGAGGCCGTTGTGCACAATCAAATAATTGCATAGCGAAGTCAAGAACTCACAGGAGCAACTAAAACACGGGAAAAAAAGAGAAGACAAAAGTTACAGAAGACAAGAGTCAAGACTTCGAAAACAAAGTATTGAGCAATTCTTGCATTGCAAGAAACTCTGGAACTGACTAGATTTCAAGATTGATATGATCGTGAGATGTTCCAAATGTTGCTTTGGGTAAAACGAATTGCAACAAAAATTGTCATTTCAACCCATGTAGAAAAGATGACTGTCGAAAACACAATCGATTTTTACATTAAAATATTTCCGAAAAAAGAACAATACATCAAGAATCACTCCAATCTCATAGTATACCATCCTATAATGGCCTACTATCGATGAAAAGAGTGCAACTAATTTATCCATGTTCAGGCAAATAATTGCAGACTTGTGCATTACAAGACAGTGGATCAAAAGTGGTACTAATAGAAAAATCTCTCAGAGAAGTGTGGAAATCAGATACAAAGGACTGCAAAATTGAATTCGCTGGAGCTAACAGTTCAATGAGCATCACGGAAAGTGTAACAGTGAGTGAAGTTATCCACCAAGAAGCTCAAACCTAAAAATATCATTTGTTCGGTTCATCCCCATTTAACTGGCGGGTCAAAAAAATGCAATTTTAGTGCTTACAAAAGATGCTATCCGCACTTATCGATTTGCCAAACCAGAAGACTTTAAAATCCGAAGTCAAATTAATAAGTGGTCAGGATATTTTTAAAACGATAAGACTAATAGAATACAGTAATCTGTACAAGAGATGTCCTTGGGGAATAAGTACACCTCTTAGACGGTCACTAAGTGGTCCATGGCGACAAAAAAGAAGTTTATAAATGCAAAGCGCGATCGTATTTCTGTTCTACAGAAAAGCAGTAGGCTCAAAAGCTCAAGAAACAACGGAAGCTAAGGTTCAGTAAAAACTTTTGTATCGTTATCTAGTGAGGAGCAACGAGGGCAGCAAATTCTAAAATCTATTACGTAACTTGCAGATGGTAGATAGGAAGTTAGACTTGGGAATTTGGGAGATGGGAAGTTGAAGATGCGTCGAAAGATTAACTATTTCATCCAAATTCCTATGGAAGTTTCTTGAAGCAACTAAGGTCTTTGCAAAGAAGGCTCAGAAAAGACGATGAATGGAAAACAGGTTATCAAGCCACAACAAAAAGGGATCTCGAAACTGGATTGGACATGTTGAGAAAATGTCTAAAACCAACATATCCAAAACTGATTGTGCCAAAGTTTAGTACTTAGCTCATCATCCAGTTTTTATCCAAAAAAACCTAGGAAATTTAGAAAAATTTGGTACGCAGCTTCAAAGTATCAAAAGGTGTCTTCGATTGATAAAATACAACCTGAACCAGAATTGTTGAAGAAGCTTGTAGGAACTTTGTTTAACTTTCGTGAATGTGCCCTACCAATCACAGCAAACGTTTCTTCAGTTCGAGGTGTTTTGAGTCAATGTGAAAAAGAAGATACTCATTGCCTGAGATTTTCTTCAGATGTTTCTTCAAGTCAATTTGAAAAAGAGAGTAATCATTGTTTGAGGTTTTGTAAACCAGATATCGAAACAATAGCGACAAAATAAAAATACACATTCACAACAGAGCCTTTTTGGAGTCAAAAGTTTACAAAAATGTACAAATCATTGGCCAATACTAGAAACGTCGAATTGATTCAAAAAGTATGACTTCATATACTAATGCAGTGATAAAATTAAACCAAGAACTTCAAACAACAAATAGCTCAAAATTAAAACAAAGGAGTTTCAAGCTGACAAACTTGCAAAACAACATTGCAGAGTTATATAAAAGCAGCATAGAAAGAAACTGCGATTCTGGGAATCAAATGGAACTTAGAGTCGGATAGTTTAGCATCCTGTTGAATGAAGGATGAGCCAGTCGAAAGATTCGCACAAAGAAATTTGCTTAGCATGGTTTTTTCACTATTCGATCCTTTAGGTTTGTTGTCACCCTTCATCATTCGGATAACGAACGTATTGTATTGAAGAAAATTTGAAAACTAAAGTTGTTGAAAGCTACAAAACAATTCCCGGAAAAAACGCTGAAGAGTATGGGCCATGAAGAAAAGAACTTACACAAATCAGAAACCTTGAAATCCCAAGAAATTACTTCAGTTTCATTTCATGAGAGATTTCTCTTCACGTGTTCGCTGATGCTTCACTTGAAGGACTATGCGCAGTTGGCTTATTTTGTGGATCAGATTTGATGACACTAAAAACGAATCTTTTTTCGGAGAAACAAATAAACATGCCTTGTTTGGAGTTGCAAGCAGCAGTGATAAGCGCAGGAAAAAAAACTACTGTAAACTCAAAGAAACACTGTGAGCAAGGCTTACATGTGGTCAGATTCTAACACTGTGCTAGCTTGGTTGTCTTCTGAAAAGATATTGCCGGTCTTTGTAGCAAAAAGGAATTCAATCATTCTAGACTACACGACGACTAGTATATGGAGAAATGTTAAAGCTGAAATAAACCCGACAGATCTAGGTAAAAGAGGACTCGCACTAAGACAAATACTCGAAAATACCTGGTAACAAGGTCTGAACTGGATCGAGAATGAAGAGAAGTGGCCGAAGAAACTAAAAATTAAAATTGTTTTAGTGGAAGAAGTAAATGAAGAAACCTGCGATAAGGTTAAAACTTTTGAAATTTTTCCGATTGGCATAAATTTAGAAACTTTAAACGACTTCAAAGCCCAATTGCTTACGTATTGAAAATTAATGGAAACATAAACCCAAAGCATTGAGTATAAAAGCTGACGAGTAGCACCAAGCTATGAAAGTTATGTTCAGATTTTTTCGATAAGAAAGTGACAAAGAAGGAAAGCAAACTCTTTTAAAAACAATGAATTCATTCATCAATGCAGAAGAGTTGATGAGAGCAGGAGGCATAATGATAGGGTTGAAAGACAGGGTTTGATAGGGTTTGAAAACACCATGTAACTTTAATTTTCCTGAAAAAGGAACACATGGAAAACTGTCACATAGGGATCGTAGAAATCAGAAGCATGATTAAAGAGATCTATGGGATTTTTGGTGTAACAAACAAACTTAGACAAATTAAGGCAAATTGTGTCCCTGAAGAAAATCATCGCAGAGGATGAGGTTTCAATGATGGCAGACTTACTTAAAATGAGAATGAGTTTCACAAGACCATTAAAATTACTGAGGTAGATTATTTTGGACCTTTCAAGTAAACAGTAAGGCATTGGCAGTTTGTCTCACAGCAAGGACAGTAAGGATTTGACAGTAAGGATTGTCTCACAACAAGAGCCGTGCATCTTGAAGTTTCTCTTGGTTTTTCAACAGAATCATTTAAATGACTTGTTTTTATTCATCGCTCAATGGGGTAAGACGGATCTCATCGCGAGCGACAATGGAACGAATTTTGTTGCAACGAACAATCACTTGCGTAAATAAATGATCAATGAATGGCAAATCGGAGGTGTACGGGAATGACAAGTGAGAAGTGCAAAAACGGCAATGTATGATGCCATGGGAACAAAAACACGACGGAGGAAATTTTGACCACAACTGTTTGCATAATTCTGATGGTATTCTAAACCAAAGACCTCTCACATCAGTTTCGGATGACATTGATAGTTATAAAGCGGTTAGCCCAAATCATTTCTTGATTGGATCATCAGGATCGAAAATATTCCGTATTAACTCGACTGGTTATGGTGCTTGAGGGAAGAATTTCAAGGCAACTCAAACAAATGCTAATCAAATCTGGCACAGATTTCAGAAGGAATGCATACCGATGCTTTTGGCAAGGAACAAATGGTTCAAAAATCTGAAAACAAAATTCCAAGAAGGTTGTCTCACATGGATTGTAAATAAGTTTAAATAGACAAATTTCACTGTGTTACGATTTTGATAAAATGACGACCTGCAACAGCTAAAAGAAACTGGAAATTTATATACGATCGATTGTAAGAAAAACTTGTTAAAGTACTCAAAGACGAAATAACAGCATTTAATTTGAAGTTAATTGTTCAAACGAAAATAGACAAAATGCGAAAAAGTATTGCAATTATTGGCAATAGTCACATTAAAAATCCGGATAACACGTACTCGAGTGGTTACTATGAAAATGAAGTCCTTTTCATGTGATTATCTGGATTAAGGGTTACGTGTTGCATAGATAAGTTTAAAACAAAAGATTTAGTGTGCTTCACGCACATTGTTATTATGTGTGGCGGAGAAGATGCCTGCGGTTATCCTAATGAGGAGTTTATAAAATCAAAAAGGCCAGAAGAAATCACAAATCGGCGAAGGAACGGATTGACGCAAAACCACATCAAAGGACTCTCGTTGTTTTTGTTCAACCAAGAGAATCATGGCAAGCATAAAAACACGTTCTAAACATACACCTCCGGAAAAATTTTAAAAAAATTTTGCGAAGATAACGGCAGAACCCAACTACAAATCAAAAGAGATCATATTCACTAGCAAAGTCTAGATAACAAAATTTTATTTTATTTATAATTCAGATAGTAATTCCACTCAAGGATATTATAATCTCAATTGTGTACGTCTCTAACTATTAAAAATTATCATTTAATCGGGACTCAATTCTTAGATACCCTGATTGGAAATTCTCAACTGAAAAAAAAAACTAGTAGTTATGCATCAAAAAATACTACTATAAACAATATTTCCAAGAAAAAAAAACAGGCTACAATGGCAATTGGTCATGCTGAATTATAGGCCTCTAAAACTTTAATTGCTTGCATGGCGGGTGGGGATAACTTTCAAAAAATCTCAAACTAAAACAGTGTTTACTGAACTTATGTTGGGTGTTTTCAGCGGACTTGTATTACCGAGAGGACTTCAGCTGCTGGCATTATCTCCTCTCCCAGATCTCATTCCTGGGATTTTTCTTCAAGTTCTGGATGTTGCCGGCAGCACTCCTCTTCGGCTGCCGCAGTCTCCGCCAGGAAATCGACCTCTGTGCCTGCATTCCATCAATCTTTATCTTCTTCAAGTCTCCCTTCATCAGTCAACGCAGCCACGTTACACTTACCAGTGACAACAAACAATCCATGTGAAAACTAAAAGAAACCAGTTTATTCAGAAAAATAAATATTTAGATCAAATGATTAGAGCAGAATCATGTACTGTAAGTTAAAAAGTCATCATAACAGAGTGTACGGTAAACTTGTTCTATTTCTGAAACGTTATTTTCATATGGAAAAAACTCGGAATATCCATGGGCGGAGCCAGGATTTTTCCAATAGACCGGATTTTCAAATTTGTTTTGAAAACGTCATAAAGACGCCAAGCTTGTTTTTAAAACAATAAAAGTACAGAATTATGCTCACGATACCTCTGAATTTCAATACAATTGACTGTAGGTCTTAGACGCAAAATTTAAGGAATCCAATAGCAATTGATGCCTACTCAAAATTCCGACAAAATTTTTATTGTCAGTTGAATCCAAAGACCCAGAGCGTGTATGACCTGGTCACAAATTCAACCAAATTTTGCTGGTTTTCATAATTTGTCATTGGATTCCATGATTCGTTATTCGATTTCGCAAACGAACTATTGAACGATAATCTATTTTTTATGGTTCATCCAAATTAACTTTACGAGCTCTTATGAAACAGTAAAAACCCTAATTTTTTTAAAGTCGGCGCCAGAGGCTCATTGTTTGCTGAGAAAAATTAGCAAAAATACCTTTTTTGTTGCTTCCCTATTCCAAATGAGCATAAATTGGCAAGCAAGTAGCTCTTCAGGGTTGCTGGAACAAAAATGCTGTCCTGTCTAAATCCGCCCCGGCGGTTGCGATTGCGCCATTGTTGGATGACGTTCTATTTCATTTCAATGTTTCACTTAACTGTTTTACCAATCGGATGAAAACTTGAAAAATTTCGTTTGGTTGGGCGTTTTTGTTCCGACTTTTGATACGAAAGTAACGGAATATTTGTGCTTGGGGTGGTTTTTTTTTCATCAGACAAATTTCGACTTTTTAACTAGCCATTTTTGACGGAGATTTTTTAAATATCATTCGAAAGGTATTGTTGTTCTGAGCTCAAATTTGAAAACATAATTCACCTGCAATCATTTTTTGTGAAGTTACGGGCGTTTAAAGATTGTCATTTTGGCCAATTTGGGACAATTAACGCGCGATATGTTTCGCGCTTTTAACGCGTAAGCGGAGATTTAATCCGTCTTAGAAATCGTTCCAAATTGGTTGAAAAAAGCTTATTCGTCACGGTTGATTTTTCACAAGGAGCGAAATTTATCGTTTTTTAGTTAATATGGCGTGTGGGGGGATCATTTTCCTAAAAAATTTCAAATTTTAGAATTTTTTTATTTTGTTTTATTTCATTTGTTTATGTTATTACTGCTCCATAAACCTTAAAAGGCAGTCGGAACATTCCGGGTTCCGCCCTGATACGAACAGTCTTGTTGTTCCGACTTTCGATACGAAAGTAACGGAATATTTATGCTTGGGGTGGGTTTTTTTTTCTTCAGACAAATTTTGACTTTTTAACTAGCCGATTTTGACGGAATTTTTTTCAAATCATTCTAAAGGTCTTGTTGTCCTAAGCTCAAACTTGAAAAAATTTTTCACCTTTGATCATTTTCCGTAAAGTTTTGTTGATTTAAAAATTGCCATTTTGGTCAATTTGGGACAATTAACGCGCGATATATTTCGCGCTATTAACGTGTAAGCGGAGGGTTAATCCCTATTAGAAATCGTTCCAAGTTGGTTGAAAGAAGCTTTTTTGCATAATTGATTCATTACAAGTAGCGAAATTTATCCTTTTGTACTTTATATGGCGTGTGGGGGGATGATTTTTATAGAAGAATTTCAAATTTTTGAAAAAAAAAATTTCATTTTGTTTTTTTTTTTCATTTAGTTTTTTAATGTTATTACTGCTCTATAAACCCTAAAAGGCAGTCGGAACATACAGGGTTTTGCCCTGATACGAGCAGTCTTATTGTACTTTATATAGCGTGTGGATAGATTGTTTTCATCAAAAAATTTCAAATTTTAGGAAACACTCAGCAAGGAGCTTGCTTGCTCATTAAATGTTTATCGCTCGTGAAACGCAGAAAAAGTCGTGCTTCATGGGCCCAATCAAGACAGTCTTTTGATTTTCAAATGGACGACTAGAGGGTGTTTTTTTAAGCTTCTCATTTTTGATGCAGCAATCTAATATTGAATAACTCGACAACTAGGCTATGTAATCACAAGAAGTGCCAAAAACCTCGAAAAGCGAACAAAATGTTAGCGTTTTTCAAAGTTGGTCGATGATACTTAAATTTGAACTTCCTTTGATGAAAAGGATCGCGTTTGGTGAAAATCAACCCTTTTTAACAAACAGCGGACTTATTTGTTAAAAACTTTTGAGACCTTTTTAACAAAAAGAATCATCTCGACCATCCTTTAGAACCGTAATTACACAGAGCATTCGGAGATCCATCGAACCGAACTAAACTATTTTCCATTGAAAAAATAAATGACTTTTTACAGGCGTGCAGCATGTAACAAAAAGTACAATTTGAATTTGAGAAGATATCTCCTTTTAAAGGGCAAACTGAAGTTCATAGAAAGACTTATGCAAGCCAGCCAAATTTTATGTATTATGAATGAAACTTAGCCACAGTTACGCAATTGGTACATAACTATTAAGAAACTGTTAGGTTTTTTTCAGCTCGTTTATATGGTGCCTTGCCTGGTATGGGCGTCGACGTGGCCATATACCACAACCTATAAATCTTTGAAAAAATTTAAGATTCTTGGCTAAATAATGAAAGAAATGTTTGCTACAGGGTGCTTTAAAAATGAATTTTCTCCATTAAAAATGAGTAAAAATTTCTCCTTTCCATACTGTTACTCAAAACATTGAATCCATTTTTGGAATGGATCATACATCTCAAGGTCATGATTTTTTAAAACATTTTGCTACATTTTAATTTTTGCAAGGCATTTCAGAACTGATTTACAATAACCGGTCAAATTGAATCAAACAGAATCTTTTAAAATCGCTTCTCTCAAATTAAGAAGAGAAGACCGTAGCAAAAAATATGGTGCCAAAAATGTTGGAAATTTAACCAAATTTTATTGATGTATCTGATTTTTAAAAATTCGGACCCCAAATTTCAGCCTTGAAACGGATCAACTCATTTGCCTCAAAAAGGTGGAAAATACAAGGTCGATTGATGTTCTTTTACAAGCGCTTTTTATCTGCGTATTTTGAAATTTATAGACACATATATACAGGCGCGGATCTAGGAATTTCTCGAGGGGGTGGGGGTGGATTTTCAAAAAAATTTTGAAAATTTTGTCAACCACTTTTAGTAGATCGACCAAATTGATTTTCTGAGCTCTCCCAAACCACTATAAAGACCGTGATTTGGCCAAAACTTGAGCGCCGCATGCGAATTGATGAAAAACAGGCCAAAAATAGCGTTTTTAGGCCCTTTTTGAAAAATTTCGACAGAAAAGTCGCGTTTTTTTCGCGCGCGCTCCCCCCTCAAAGTTAATACAGATTGGCGCCAAAGGCGTTTTTAGAAAATTTTAAGAAGGTCAGTCCGCCAAAAATGGATATATCGAAATAATTCAAAGGGGGACACTTTGGGTCGGCAGGGATCGAATCTCTCAGGGGGTGAGGCGTCCTCCCCCTCCCCCCCCCCCTCCCCCCCCCTCAAATCCGCTGCTGGATTTATATCTGATCTATTTTGAAATATCGTAATTTTGAATCCGAATTTCAAAAATTGAGTTATATCAATCTAATGCTTTTTAAAATTCTAACCCAATTTTGTTATGGCCGTTTTTTAAAGGACTATATTTTTTACTCTAACAATCGAAACATTATGAACTTGCTAAGCGCATAACTTCAATAAATCTTGAAAAAAATAAAATCATAAGGCAACTTAGAGGTTTTCCAAAATTTACAGAAAAATGAACAAAATGATTCTCACAGTTTTCCCATGATTCCAAGGAAAATTTTGGTTAAGATCTTCATAGTTTATCTAAATCAAAAGATTACATATTTCGGAAAAAAACCTTTGTCTAGTTTTTTCGCATAAATTTCGGCGCGTGTTGTCTAATTGGTAAAAATCAATTTTTTTACGTGCAGGTTGTAGAATGAAGGTATTATTTATTTTTTGGTTCATGATAAGTCAATGGTAAGCGTCAAAAAAATTGAAAGCACGACAAGATTTGTTATTTTTCGATCTATTAACTGTTTTATTAGATGAACTAATTATCTGAAACTATGGTGAAACCTACCGAAACATCGAAAAGATGCGTTTTTCGAGAACAAAATTAAACTACGAAGAAATGATAATTCACTGTGTCGTGTTTTTAGTTTGTAATAGAAACCAAAAAAAACTGCATCGTATATGACTTCAAAACATGGCATTATTTCTTATAAGTTTTTTACATTGCATCAGTTTTTTTTTAATTTTATGGTTTTGTACGAAATCCGTCATCTTGAACTTGTCGTTTTGGATAAAAATAACTATAAAACCTTTCTTTGTTTCCTCATATGTGGCCACCATATGATTAACAGTTTTGAATTCTCTATTTGTAGAATTGAGGCTGACTGATTCTTCGAGTACTCTCCTGTATTGTCAAAGGCCTATCTTCAGAATCATCTAGAACCCGTTTGCTTATTCCTTTGCTGCTAAATGTGACTTATCGGACTTGTTGTCACATCAACAACAAGTTTTGATACACAAACGGAGCATTTCTGTACACCTAAATTCCTCTTTGAAAAGTCCCGGCTCCGGTTTATCATGGTTTTTATGGGTACTGCAACACGTTTGATGGAAGAATCTAGATTTTGCGTCCGCCTTGAAAGATTAACTGCAGTCATTTTTTCTCATTTTTCCCAAATGTCTTTTTTTCTGGTTGGATACAATTATATAAGTGTTCATCAACAAGTGCTAGGTAAAATGAGTCTGTATCCATCTCCAACTTTTCAATTTTTTTTACATCACAGAACTTCTCAAACAAATTGTAGTAGAATTCCAACACTCTCAGTTTTGCATACTGCAGTGTGAAAAATCCAACGATGATGGGTTCTCTGTGTTCAATGGTTGATTTCAGCAATTCGACTTTATACAAGTCTTTCTCAACTGTGTTCAGTCTTTTAAATAGTGGTTCATTGATTGCTTTATGAGTTTTTTCAATCATG